AAGCCCTGGGAATTCCTTCCTGGAATGGGACATCAGAGAAGGGGAAAATCCATTGAGGAACCTCTGTGATATTCCCTGATCCCCGGGTCTTTTGGAATTCCATTAATTCCCTTCTCCACCATTCCACAGCAACCCCATCCAGCCGGATCATTCCCAAATGATCCCATACCAAATCTTGCTGGATTTTCCCGCCTCCAGCCTCCTCATCCCCTTGTTTCTCCTCTTTCCAATTAAATCTCCGACAACACGAGGCCAAACTAAAAAAAAAAAAAAAAAACGAGTTCACCTCATCCCGCAGGAAAATTGATTCCTTTTCTTTTTTTTTTTTTTTTCCCCTCCAACCCCCCCTTTTCCCTCCATCCCCATCCCAGGGTTTTTATGGACTCTCTTCCCGGCGATCATTAGTAATTCAATTTTCTTTTTATTAGCCCCCTTATCTGCTGAGCAATAGAGTGACCTCTCTCACACAGAAGGGGGAGGGGGGAGGAGATGTTTCAAACCTTCTCTTCTTCTTCCCCCTGATTAATTTTGCCAGTTAAGGCAAAAAAAAAAAACAACAAAAAACAAAAAGAGGGAGAAATGATCCGGTTCTTTGCCATCCCAATGAATAAAAACTTAATGTTGATCGTGCTGGAATTTGGGATTGCCGGGGGAGAATTGATGGAACGCGGCAATTACGGAGCAAGGGGAAAGGGGAGGGGGGGGAGGAACTCCAGAGGAATGGGAGAGAGGGTTTTTTTTTTTCTCCTGCCTTGCTCTGGCCCTGTTGGTTATTTAAAACAATCCAATTTGCAAGGATAATTATATATTAGTGGTTTATCTGCCACCGGGAATGAACAGGGGAATTTTGATACCGGCCCGGCATTAGCAGGTTATTGCTGCAAATTACTCCGTATCTGCTTCCTTTCACATAAAGGGGAAATTAGGCCATCAATAACCGGGAAAAGGTGGGATGAGGGCATGGGAGAGGCACGAGTGCCCTCTGCTGGGCTCTGGGGGTGCTTCCCAGAATCGGGGAATAGCAGGATC